CCCAAAATATTTTTAACACTGGTTATGTGTAAATGAACACAACTTTTTTTTCCCACATTTTTTATTTCAAGTGTAAATGCAAATATAAAACATGTGTCAATATCTTACTATTTCCAACTTAATACATATGAAAGTCGACTGAACACAACACACTAGGCTAAATAACAATGTCTGCATTGGTTCAGAGAATACACTCTTTTTACACTTTTATTATTTCCTTTATTTTTGTTACCTGAATGTGAGATTCAGGGGTAATTTGTGAGGTGAAATTAAGGGTCAAAGGAGTAATTGCTGTCCTAGTTTTTTTTTAATGAAAGTCATTCCCTATAACCTCGTATTCATTCAGTTGAGTAAAGTTCCAATATACAATGCCTCTATTAAATTTTGGCAATAAGTATGTCCGCTGTGTCTAGAATCTTACTCTTACTCTTTCTCCATTTTGGATGCATTAAATTTCCCTAATTAATTATCAGTTTAGATGTGCCGCATGTAACTATGGTTACTTTGGTGAGGCACCTCACCATTTTTTCATTAGGGTAAAGGAAAATCTACTGACAGATAAAAACTCTCATGTTCGCAAGCATTTGTGTACTTTTCCCAAGTTGTAAACGAAAGTGTCCAGCTCAGTGTTTGTTATTATATTTAGTAGCTACATTACTGTGCTCAGAAGTGTTACCTTCAGCTTGAGGTTTTCGTGATTTAAGTTTGCTTTAAAAAATTGCTTTTTTTGGTTAGCGAGGTAAGAGGGAGAAAAATTAGGTCAGAGAGTACTTCAAAGTTTTTTTTTCTTGTTTCTAAACCAGGAGTTGCGCTGTTTATTTTTTTAAAAACATATAACCACATCCCAACAAATGACTGCAAATTTTTTTACATTGATATGAGTAAAAATGAGGAAATATAAGTAAAAATAAAAGTGATACAAGTATCTCTCGCGTTGTTCACCAAGAAGTTCAAAGTTTTACAATAAACTAAGGTTTATCAAAGGCTTTGCCTTTTCATTTTCGTGTATGTTCAGTCCCATTCCAGATATGTTAAGCATCTAATAAAGTTTATCATAGTCTTATTAACCCAAAAATGACTGCAACTTTCCCAAGGTTTTCATGCTTTGGAATAATCCCTGTTTCCAATACATTTTCCCTCACTTTCCCTGTACTTTCCTCTGAATCCTATCTCTGAATCTTAACAAAAACTTATAAAGTACTTGATGGATGACCAAAGTTTTGCTTGCACACCACACTACCTGCCATGTCCATTTCCTCCATAATGGGTTGGACTCTCCCAGAGTCTTTCTCACTCGCAGTGTAACCCAGCTTGATAAACAAGCCTTGTCGAGCTGGATTAGTTTACGTACTCCATTGGTAATCGTACTCCACCGGGACTTATGGAGCTTAATATCTAAAAGAGGTTTCCTTGTTGAGCCGGAATAGTAATCGAGTACAACAAATCATTTTCAAGCTCAGTTTCGTAGGAACAAATATTGATCCCAACTTGGAAGTTAACAAAATTGTTTGTCTTTTGGTTTTATTTTTGCCTTGTTTTGAAAGTGGGAATTTTTGACAATTAGAGGCAGCCAGATGTCATTTAAATGAAAGAGCCATACGACTCGTTTTAAAAGTTTATGCCCCATCTTCTCGATTTAGATGACATGGCAAAATAACATACTGATGGTATAAGCAATGGCTTAAATCTTACCAGCCAACCATCACATAAACTTTCTAGATAATCTATTATCTTTCGTATAAGAAAGAAACTGCCAAAGATAGAAGTGCTCACTTGACAACATCAAAACCTGTGGTAGCTCAAAGTTAAGTTCATTTTATTTTTTAAATCTTTGCACTTTTAACTTTAATGATAAATTATTACAAAGTCTTAATGTCTGTGTACTTTTTTGCCCATATGCAAATGAACGTTCATATAGGCAAGATTTGTAGCAAGGCTTTGGACAGATTATAAATAAGACAGATCAGAAAATTCCTTACTGTTCAATCGACTAAGACACCAGTCCACGCTTTTATATCCTCACACCTTGATTACTGTAACGCACTTCTCTTCGGTCTACCTAAATATCAACTTGATCGCTTACAGAAAGTTCAGAATGCTGTGGCTAGAGTGATTTTTCAGATTCCAAAATTGGATCATATCACACCTGAACTTATCGACCTACATTGGCTCCCAGTAACGTTCAGAGCTCAGTTTAAATGGCTCCTCTTTGTTTACAAGTCATTACACAACCAAAGTCCTCCCTAAATTAAAGATCTTTTGTCCCTGAAACCAGCTACTAATTATGCTCTTCGCTCGTCTGCTCAATCTCTTCTGTTCGTCCCAAAAGCCAACTGCTCTTCACTTGGGGATAAGGCCTTTGCTCATGCTGCACCTGTTTTTTGGAACTCACTGCCATTAACTATGAGAACAAGTCGTAGCCTCGCCATTTTTAAAAAGCAACTTAAAACATTTCTATTTAGGAAAGCTTTCAGTTCGTTTCAATAGTTCTAATGTTTATTGCCTTTTAATATTTTAATTTCAATTAGTATAGACCTTTACCTTATGTAAAGCACTTCTGAATATTGTTTATAGTTTTAGCACTATATAAACCCCTTATCATTATCATTTTTAATAGGGTTATGAGCTACCCTTTGGGATGAGGATGTTCTTGAAAAGTGGAAGCTCTTGGCATGCAAACAAGGAAACAAAGCCAGCAAAACTACAACCACACAGCTTTTGAACAGCCCCAAGTTAGTGCACGGGCTATTGAAGGATTTGGCTGTGCATGGCTACTAGAAATATATCTTGTCTTCTGAATTGTTAATGTTATGTGTCATTTCTTTTTCTATTTTTAGAAAGATTGTTGAACGCGAAGTGCATGACAAAGACAGGTTTTCTTGGAGGTACACGTTTAGCAAAGATCGTTAAGGTTCTCAGAGAATTTCTTAGTTTAATTTGTACTATTGTAGAGTACTCAGAAATTTGAGGATTAAATAGGAAGTCTTTACAAAAGCAATGATCTCTGATTTTGCAGAATGGTCATCATTAGTAAATGTGACGAACAACCTGTTGTCTGCTATTTCATTGAAAGAAAAGCTAAAGATAACAAAGCAAATAAGGATTACAACAACCTTGGGAGTAAAACATTTTCCATGTTTAGATATGGTCATGTGCAGAAATTGAGCAAGCGTCCGACACTGATGGAACCCACATTTGTTGTGAATGTCTGCTTGAAGAGAAAAAACATTGAAATATAACCTTACTCTGTCCTGCCCTGCAGGGAAAGCCCTCTTAGCTTCTCACAAGCATATTGCTTCTCTGCACTAGGCTCTTGAAGAACTTACATGACTTAAAAGTACTTGCAAGTATCAGACATGCACCTCAAGAGTTTGGGTGTAGAACCAAAAAAGAAAGGAAACTGGAACCAAAATCTGCTTTTGATATATAATTCTCTAAAGGGGAACTACCTCTAAAGGAAGCAATTTACAAACATGGTATATGTATAAAAAACTGTTCTGAATGAGAAGCCATAGCTCATGAACCACAGTGCAAGAAAAATGATGATACAAAAACTTAATGACAGCAATGTAGCAATGTTCCCCCCACTCACATCATGCAGCTTTCAGGTCACTGTAATTTGCAAAGTGTAAACAACTACAGCTCTGTTTCTTAAGAGCAACAGAAGAATATGTCATCCATACTGAGCTCAAAGCCTTTAACATGCAATTCTGTGAGTGATGCAAAGACAATGGTTCATGCACTGCTGCAACCACCACCAAAGCAGAGGCTTCATTCATAAAAACTTCAATGTTTCCTGCAGCTGATCCCTTCAGTGGAGCCATATTCCATGGTGGACAATTCAACATAACTATAAACACTGTTCACAAGTCACCAGGCACTTGTGCAGATGGTTCAATTTCTACAGAATGAAGCTATGAATGAATCAAAAGAATTGAATCATCGAATGATGATGACAGCCCTCCACTTCAATGAAAAATTTAACCTTTTACGGGCTTTTTTAAAAATTTTATTGAAGTGATCAACTTTATTATGAATAAAGCTTGTTTGAAATTTTGTAGAGCTACTTGAGCTCATTTTTATGCATTTAGAGTTACGTTTTTTGCAAATGAAATCAGCATGTTTACTTTTATTTGATTGACTTGTAAGCTCATTTGAAAGTTAAAAAATAAATCAAAAAAGTGAAAACCTCATTATGTATGAAGTATGCAAATTACATCATGGGGAAGGTATATATACAGCATTTTCGCACTTGTTGGTATGTATCAGAAATCTCACTTGTTCACTGCACTCACGTTAGATTTCTGTACATCACCAATTCAGGCGAAAATGCCTTATGCATGCCCTTCCTAGAGGTAATCTATACATTATGTTTATATCACCTTGGAAAGTCTCAGAGCCACTCAGTATGTTGTTTGTAATGGCATCAACATATTTTTTTATTACTGGCATCTGTTGCACCTGATGGATCCCCAAAATTAATAACATTTTTAACTGTTCATATCTAAATTACCTGTCATTTTCTAACCTCCATCCAACAGTAAAATAGTTAAAAAGTCTGCAGAACCACCACCACCACTAACAGATGGCCCTGTAGACCCTGTGCACTAGGTATCACCTTTTGGTCACTGTGTACTAGTATCTCCATTATCACCTTTCAAAACTCTGACACCAATGTCACCCTTATCCCCCTTAGGCTCCTGTGCTCGGGTATCACTTTCAGGCCCTTGCGTATGAGTATCTCCTTTATCACCTTTAGGCCCCTGCGCTCAGGTATCTCCTTTATCACCCTTAGGGCCCCTGTGCACCAGTATCACCCTTGGACCCTCATGCACTGGTATCTCCTTTATCACACTTAGGCCCCTGTGCTCTAGTATCACCCTTGTCACCTTTTGGTCCATGAGAACCAGCACCACCCCCACCAGGTGGACCTATAACACTTATCTCCCTCTTATCTTGTAGGACAACACCAACACCTGATGCCATTGCCTTTGTATCTTCTAGAGTTGTGTTTTTGTTAATATAATTTCATTATTACCAATTAGTTCACCTTTTGACAAACGTAGAGCAATGGGTGATTTGTCCTGGTATGCTTTTGCTAATTTTACTCTTTGATTGTCACTCAATATGACTTTGTAAGAAGGATATCTATTAGTCATTTATACTATTATATTATGTTAATATTGATATATTAATTATAAAACATGTATTTTATGAGAAAAAAAGTTGTTATTTTATGCTTTTTGTATTATGTGCGCTACTGCTTAAGCTTTCAGAGGTGCTTTTCCACTAACAACATCAACAGATAGTTCTTCTTCATGCAGTGTTTGAACTTACAGATTGGAATCAGCATTAGGGCCAACAGACAATGTGTGCTTGAATTCCAGCTTACATGAACTGGCTTTCAGTTTCTCTTCCTGATTTGTAAGATCAAAGTACAGAGTGCCATGGAGTTTATCAAATATAACATCTATTGTTGGCCTGGTGAGGTAATCATTAAACTGTCTACTGTATCTCATCAATGTACCATATGTTCTTGCAACCTCTTTCTTGTGGATAAAGGACACAATTAATCAGGTCTAAAACAGAAACATATTTTGTGTGTGACTAAACAGTTTAGTAGTGTTCAATGTCCAATGTATAAATCAATATCCAAGTATGCATTATACCAATCAAAGGATGGGCCTCATTCCCACTATCAAGGAAAAGCCTGTATCCTGTTTTCCTTTGGGAAGCATTATTACCTGGTGTGACTATTGAGTTCCACAAATCAACAGAGACAGTCGTATCTTTTATAGTATTCAGATGATCTTAAATTCATCTACATAATACAATTAGATAAAAATACATGTTTGAGGTATTATTGTTGTACTCTGTCAAATTATGCTGACAGAGTGTTTTCCTCTGTCTGATGCAAGGAAATCTATCTGGTATGGTCAGTTCCAACCATGTAACACCAGAATCAGGGCTTAGTTTGATTTTACACTCAGCTGCTATATTATACCAACTATAACTATAAGAGTGAATGTAATGGTAAAATCATGGCTGTTTCATTTCTGACTCCATCGATTGAATTAAGAAATAATGGTATCTCCATATACTATTGGTTCATTGGCATATCGTTCCAGTGTTTTTGCCACACTTCTACATACATTAGCAGCCTCTTTACGCTTCTCGGCATTTGCTTTCAGTTTAGTAATATCCATTGTAATATCATTTTATATTGTGTTTTAAACATATTATAGTTGTTGTGTTCCTTAAAGCAGGTATTATTATCCAATGTAATTATATATGAAGATTCCACATTGTGACAATCATAACAACAAACAGAATGAGAGAGTATTACACCACATATTGAATGCAAAATTAATCAGAAAAAATGTAAATTGGTGGCTATCATGATGGCCACATTAACAACGGCGGTTATTTTTATTGTCTTTCTCAGCAGAGCTCTCAAAATAACTCCATATACCCAGTATTTCTACAATTTAAGAGGCTACTTTGTGCGATGAAGGGTGAAGATATGATGGGCATGATACGAGGAAATCCATATAGCTTAACATCCATGTTAAACACGGAGAAATAGTGTGCCCTTAGTGTTAGAGATGTGGTCATCATCAAGTCATCGTAACAAACTGAAACTGGTCCCTAAGAACTATAAGGTGACTAGACAAAGGGAGATATGGTGAAGTGCACAGTGTAAGACTATGAGTGAATGAGAGTATTGAGTACCCTGTTAAGCACTTGTATCTTTTAGAGCTGTCATGCAACAAGGAAGAATTTCAGCCCGAGAGGACAGCGCTGAACCCAGCAGTATTTGTTTTCAGACTAAGATGGGATGCAGCAGTTGTTGCCAGGCTCCAAGTGCAAGACTTGATTGATGAGGATCAGCAGGAATGAACATTTCGATTGAGAACTTTGAACTGAAAGAAGTTTTGATACATTGTTTGATCCATAATCAGTTACTCACTTTTCAACCAGTTCTGATGTTGCAGATGTTTATAAGATCATGTTCATTAAGATCTTTTGTTTCGTTAGGTTGACTCATGTTCAGCTCATTAGTTGACCTGCAGATGTAATTGCAGAGATTTTAGTTTTTCTGCAGAGAGCATGGTCACAGTAAAGGCAAAGGCAATGAGAGATTTTAATGAGTTTAATGTTAATGAGGTAATTTAAATTACATATGTTAACAGTTTTTGAATTTTTGTGGCACATTATGGCAAGCACTGGTCAATATTTGGCTAATTTAACTGGTGGCTTTTTTTGAGCAGATGTAACTGTCAACAAAAGACATCATGTTGTCTTTGCCACCGAAAAACAACTTCAGTTCCTCAGCAAAGCCAAGACGTGGTTTATAGATAGTACCTTCAAGTTGTGCTGCCACCCCTTCACTCAGCTCTGGACCATCAATGCAAATGTTAAATCCAAGGACCATGTGAAACAGGCTCCATTGGTCTTTGCCTTGATGTCCAGTAAGAAGACAAAGGATTATCAAAAGGTAAATATGCATAGATAGTTAGAATATGGATGACCGAGATTTTATAAAGCTGACTAATAGGTGAAATTTGCTCTAAACATTCACTCACACCTATGTCTTAGCCTGTTTCAGGTCATGAGGACTCTTCTAGACCTCCTGCCACAGAACCCAAAGGTTCACCAGGTCATGATTGACTTTGAAGAAGCAATGTGGAACTACCTTCATGAAGTCCTACCAGATGTGATGGTGAAAGGCTGTGTATTCCATTGGACACAAGCTCTGTGAAGTTATACAAATTGGTAGTTTTTCTTTGATGGATAAAGTTAAAGCTGGGAGGAGTGTACAATCATTTTTAATATTTGCTTACCATCTTATTTTACATATTTTTTTTTTACATTAAAGATTCAAGAATTTGGTCTTCAGACAGCATAAAAAATGGATGATAGCACATTTAAGTATCTCTGTAAAATAATGACCTTACCATTCCTGCCTCCATGTCAAATACCAGCAATGTTTACCTGTCTTCAGCTGCAAGCCACCACTGAACCCCTGCAGAGGTTTGTGGAGAATGTCGATAGCACCCAGGTACAAAGCAATTCCTGCATGGCCTCACTCCCGCAGGAGCGTGTACAAGCAGCAGATCCACACCAATAATGATGTGGAAGGATGGCATAACAGCCTAAACAAACAGGAAAAGCCCAGATCCCCCTTTACATGCTGGTACAACTACTGCACAAGGAAGCCTGACTTGTCTCCCTTCAGATTAAATCGGTTTCTGGAAGAAAATTAACAAAACTACTAAAGAAAACATACCACTCCATCCAAGCGAAAATATTAAGCTACTGGGAGCACTACGCCTACCACCAAAAGTCAGCAGCACAACTATTCAAGGCTTGTTCCCATGTCAATGGACCAGTAGATCAAAATTAAATAAGATAAGGGATTAAGTTTATTTATTGTAAGAGTTAGATTTTAGCCCTTAGAATAAAATTGCTTTCTTTAAAACATTTGCCCTTATTTATTTCGTTATTATGCTTAAACTGCGCCAGTAGGGGAGTTAACACAATGAACCAAGGCACGTCCAGATAGTGAAAGGCTTTAATCGCAACGGGGAACTAGACTCCGAACGAGTAACAAACAATATGGCCGACGCGACGAGGAGGAAAACCGTCAAAAGGGCATGCTCAACCCAGATACCGCTGACCGGTACTGGCGTGACTTCTTTCTTCTTTTTTTTTTTTTTTTTTTTTTTAAAGGAGAAACAGGACCTAAAAACAAGTTAACATACACTTAAGACTAACTAACAAATTGACACGCGCGGGCGAGTCAAAGTTCAGAGTTTAAAGATCGGTGTTCAAAGTTCAGTGTCATAATCTGCAAAACGAGAAGGAGGACGGCGGGTGCGCGATGATCTCCGTAGGGCAGGCGGAGAAGGCACCGCTGAGGCGGCTGCATACTCCACTGGGGAAGGATCAGGGCAGGGCGACTGTGTAGCGAAATCATCCATGGTATGGTCAACGGGAGAGGCAGGGGCTGGACTGTAAGACTGAGGGTTGACAACTGGTGGGTGTGTAGAAGCTGCGATGGCCTCAGGGATGGCAGGCAAAGAGGGGGGAGGGTGAGTCGTTGTAGTAGGACCATCTTCGTCGTCGGAATCAGAGTAGTGTTTGCGTAGGGTCGGAGAGGCACGGAAGGGATCACCCAAGTCAGATGGGACCTTGAAGCACTCAGATAGCTTGACATGGTACGATGAACTTCAAACTGGGATCCAATGAACTTTTGATGTTGCAGAATGGAGGATCAATGGCTACAACGAGATAGCGGTCACGAGCACGAGACTTGTTGAGGTCAGAATGGAGGTACACAAGATCACCAATATCGATCAGGGGGTAGGACGCCTTGACTGACCAGGAGCTTTGGAACGTTCACTGAGGGGATGGTTGGAGAGACGCTGTTCATGCTGGAGGGAAATTATGTGGTCATCTGCGAGGGTAACTGCTTGTTTGAGAACTGATCCCGCTGGGTCCACATTTCTCGAGAGGAAAGCCCTCTTGAACGGATACGTGAGTTTAAGGCTGAAGTGGCTACGGCGAGGGTGAGGGGAGAGACAGAACTACCGAGAGGCTCCTGACGTAACAGCTCATTCTCTAATTCCTGGACCGCTCTCTCTGCAACGGGGTTCTTGTTGGGATTTTTGGCATGGCCAAGCTCAATTGTGATTCTGTGTTTCTGTAAGAGTGAGTCATTGACAAGGGCCTTGAATCCGGGAGCGGGGTCGGTGCGGATCACAGCAGGTGGACCATCCATTGGGCGCATTTCCACGCAAAGCTTTATAATGGCATCACGCAAAGTTTGGTGGCGTTCGTTCTCAAGAAAGAGACTGGACGTGTAAGAGGTCACTGTTTCACGGAGTACAAAGATAAGTTGGCGAGAACGTTTTATGACATCTGCCGCAAAGGACTGCCCAACAGTTTCAGGTGGAGGCGAAGTGGACTGGTCAATTCGTGCTGTTGGTGATTTCTGAATTGCTGCACAGGAGTGGCATCCATCGGAAACACGGGAGACTGCCTTGTCCAGGTCGAGGGCGAACAGATAACGCTTGGCAACCATTTTTAACTGGTGACAAGAAGGGTGGCTGAGCTGAATGTGAAGGGCTGTCAAGAGGCCATCCAAGGCCTGGCGAGGGACAATGATACACTCTCTGGTCGGTGACAAGGGATCATGACGTTGGACGACGAGCAGGCCATCACTTGCGATTGAGGCGACCTGCAAATAGCGTTTGACGTCCTTTATGTTTGTGAGCTTCTTGGAAGGTCTTGTGCCTTGGACAAGGTGTGCGTGCGTGCGGCGTAGGTCTGGGCATTCAGACTGTATGGCCAACCAGGCCGGACGGCTGGTGAAAGGGAGGCGGGCATTGCCTTGGAGGATGTCCTGGACAGTCGCGGCTCGGACAACAGAATCTCTGGTTGAGGCGATAAACAGGCAAATCTGACAGGTTTCATTCTCACAAGGAGCAGCATTTCGACTCGCGAAGTCTGACTGGAGGATAGAGGCGCCGGAGACGTGTCGCACTGAGGCCTGGTAGCGGCTGACAACTGACAGGAAAGTAGATACGCGAGGACTTGCGGAGAACTCGCCGCGGCATAGCTTCTCATAAGCCTGGACGCATGGCTTACTGTCCGTTAGGATACAGGCTTTATTGGATGACTGGATGAGGTATGGACTGAAGTGCTTTGTAGCCGCAGCGATGGAGAGGGCTTCTACTTCGCACGGAAGCCACGTTGTCTGAGTGCCCCGCAGCTTAGCGCTGAAAAAACCGGCGATGTGTAGCTTGTTGTTGCGCGTCACATAGAGGGTGGCGCCTATTCCTGGGTCCTTGACTGCGCCATCGGTGACGACCCATAGTTGGTCCTCAGGTCTAGGTAAGGTGATAGAGAGGGCTGAGGATAGGGCCTTCTGAGCGTTATGGAATGCAGCCCTGAGACTATCAGACCAGGTGATGGATTCTTGTGACGTACGTCCAGCCGTGACGGCATCCAGCGGGGTTAGATAACTAGAGCACCGTGGGATAACACGAGACAGGACTTTGTACGCACCAATGAACGATCTCAAACGACCAACAGTGTTTGGCACAGGGTACGTGGCGAGGGTGTTGAGGCGGTGGGCACTGGCAGACAGGGTACCGGGCGGACCAAATCCAACCAAGGATAGTGGTTGACTTGGGGTTGATTATGGTCTTGTGGGCTGACAAACGCAGGTTGCATTTGTGAAGAGCTTGCAGGACCCTCTTCCAGTTGTGTAGTAACTCTAGAGGGGTGTTGCCCCGCAGTATAAATCATCGGCGATCTTGGCCACGACTCCATCTTGAAGTAAGGGGCCTAGAACACGGCACATAACCTCCTCTAGAGCAGTCTCTGAGCCAGGCATTCCCATAGCGGAGCGGGCACACACCCGGACGCCTTTAAAGGGGGTGGCGACACCGCAGTACTTCATGGACTCTTTGGCTAAAGGGATCTGGTAGAAAGCACTTGTAAGGTCAGTGACAATTATGTGTGACCATTGGGCGATGAGCCGTAATGTGGAGTCAACATCGGGTAGCAAGGATGGTTGTGGTTTGCTGTATCTGCCCACATCAGAAAAGGCGGTGACGAGACGGGAACCACCATTAGGCTTCTTTACAAGGAAAGATGGATTGAGGTATTCAATGGTGATACCCACATCTTCGGGGCGGCGGAAGACGCCAAGAATCTCTAGGTCGTCAAACTTTTCCTGGAGCTCGATGAGCTTATCCCGTGCGTATTGGGGGAGGCGACCCTTCCGCTGAGGAGGTTCGACAGGACCCATGTTGACTTTGGCCTTGTATGCGCCAGCAGCGGCTCCATTGTATCCGGGGGAATTGCGGGTCAAATACAGTGTCGTACTCTGTAAGTAGTGATTGGAAGTCTGCACGAACGGTTTGGGGAAGGGTGTTGTCTGGATCAACCTGAACGGACGCAGAGTAACGTGTACTGGAGGGCGGCAACGGGCGCTGAGCAGTAGGTGGGGGTGATGATGGGACTTCGGGGCTCAAAAACAGGGATGACTTGGCAGAAGTGTTCGTGGCGCTTGAGAGTGCGGGGGTACGCTTGATAGGTTAGGAATCCGTATGGCTCGGGCAACGCTGGAAACGACACCAGGTTGTGGCCACAACTGGGATGGCTTCAGATTGTGTGCACTGGGTGCGTCGATGCGAGGCTCTAGTGCGTACTCCGAGTCAGAAGGTGCATCGTCTGGTAGACGTACTTCCATGAACTCTCCAGGCCACACTGTCTGGGATGGAGCGGGGCACGTGGGACAAATGCTCTACGTGCGGTTGCATGAGGGTTAGGTGGGGATTTGGACCCATACGTGTAGACTGAGCCATTGCCTAGTAGTACCTCTCTCTTAGCGGGTCGGACAGCGATGTCATTCGTCTCCATAAAGGGGTACCGGCAAGTACCTCAACATCAAGATTCTCAACTACGAGACCTTCAAATGCGAAGTTTGTGTGGTCCCGGGTGAAGGTGGTACGAATTTCTCCTATCACCTGGAGCTGAGACGAGCCATCAGCCTGTTGGACGGACTGGGCACTTGAGATTATCGGACAGCCGAGGTGTTTCGCGGTTGAACGGCGTATCATATTTCCAGTTGCACCGCTGTCGGGGGACGCGCGACGACTCGATGATCATGAAAGACGTCCATGTAAGGGGACTGGCGGGTCTGCACACGGTAGGCCACCATGTCCGGGCCTGGCAATGTTGTGTCAGGGTCTGGTGAATCAGAATCAGGACTGGTCTCAAATTCTTGGTCATTGTCAAGGATGCCGGCGATCTGTCGTGCTTTCACCATGAAACGCCTGTCACTGTCGGGGAGGAAGGTACACTGACTGAGGAAGTGGTTTGTCATAGAACGGCCAGCCTGTTTACATAGAGGACAGACCTTGTCTTGGCGGGGTTGTCTGGGACGGGCTCTAGGAACACCCCCTGTTACTCTGACGAGGGCGACGAAAATCGTCTGCAACAGCAGCACGTAGGATTCTGGCATCATCCGACGTGTGGATTTCCTCGAGTAAGGAATTGAGGGCCTGCGAGATCTCAGGTTTGATCGAGGCAAGAGTACGGGATCTCAACTCTGTACCATAACGCTGCTTAACCAGTCGTGGGAGACTGGGGTGAATGAGGCGTAACCAAGTGAGGACCAAAAAGTTTTCGAGTGTAGGGGTTAATTCCTCATCCTCCTGCACTGCTTGGCCATTGTGGGTTAAGCCGTTGGCACGTAGCAATGAATCTTCTACGAATGCTGTGAGGCGCTGGTACAGATCTTCGGGGCGCTCATCAGCAGCTAGGTGTATTTCGGAAAAGTCAATGAACTGAGCCCCGGTGACTTGGAAACCAAAGTGCTGTCTGATGGTTTGCCAGATGAACTCGAGGGATGTAGAGTTTTTCACCAGAGTATTTCGAGAGATAATTGGACAATAGTTGGCGATCTGTCCTAACATCAGCTCGAGGAAGTTAACCTTTTGGCGGGCTGTCAGGCGACGAGCTAATGGCACTGATTCGCCATCGTTGTGGAGACCTCGAAGCGGCTGACCCCTGGTCTTTTTTAACCATGTGAATCCATCTGCGAGGAAGGGGGCGAAGTTGCTGTCCAAAGAAAGAGTGTAAATGAGGTTTTGCTTCCAGTTTTCAAAGGAATTGATAGATTCCACTTTGGAGAGGCACCACTGCTTCGGTGCACGGTGTGTTGCAGCCATATTTCACGTTTAGGGCTCTGGAACGTGTTGACACGGCGAAGGATACACTGTTTTGGCTCACGTGGACGAGGCGAAAAATAGCCTTCTTCGGCGAAAATATGGCCTGGGTAGAACCGAACACTGCCACCACGCCAGTAGGGGAGTTAACACAATGAACCAAGGCACGTCCAGATAGTGAAAGGCTTTAATCGCAACGGGGAACTAGACTCCGAACGAGTAACAAACAATATGGCCGACGCGACGAGGAGGAAAACCGTCAAAAGGGCATGCTCAACCCAGATACCGCTGACCGGTACTGGCGCTGTGTACAAATTAACAGAACGTATGAAAAAGAGAATTACCTTGAAATTTCTTTGAACACAAGAGTACATGCCCACACAAACAATTTACAGAAAGAACAAAATGTAGTGAACATGAAAGGCTAATTAAATCCACAAAAGCGGAAATATATTTTTTCAAATCAAACACTTAACTTACTTGTCTAGCAGTCTGATGTTTCTTTTTTTAAGAGATTTTACCTTTGCTAGCGCTTTGCTCTTGCAAGGAGAAGAAATATTTAATGTTTGTAACAAAGCTTAGCAGCTTGGCTTTTCCAAGAAACAATGGCCAAGGGCCTGGGAAGGAGTTTTGTACAGACTGTTGGTTTTGAAATGCTTAGTTAGTACACTCTTTATTATCATTTTTGTTCTGATTTATTTTTGTCAATCAGTCTTTCATTATAGCTCTTGATTATTACATAATAAGTTTGTTATCTCCCATCAATTCCCATTTAGGGACATGTTAGTGAGATTCAATCTCGATCATGGTACTAGATTATCACTATTAGTTTGTTCTTGAATGATATTGCTGTCAGTTATTTGCTATCATTAGGAGCAAGACCAATGCAAGTCTTTATCTCTTTTACATCTATTATGTTTATCTTCTGTCTGTATTACTGGTGTAGTTCTTGTATTCAGTTTTCTGTGCATACAGAATATGCCAGATCTCTCAACACACCTTGAGAAAGAATCACCTGCAGCACACTTCTACTTGAAGATGACGTTTGGAGTTCAGGACAAGTATGTATATCAATGTGAATTATGATGCTATTAATTAAAAGAGAAAACAAACCAACAGTATCACAAACAAATCTCTCACACAAATCAGCAAGTGATGAAATAAAGCTTCCTGGAGTTGATATGGAGTTGAGTACTTACAGCAAATTGACTTGGAAATCATGAATTTAAATGATACCTTCAACATTGTGTGAGCTTATCCAAATGTGTTCCATAACTTTCTCTTTTTAGGTCGGTTCCTATAGTTCCAAGATGTGTTTTGTCTAGGTGCTGCAAGGAGATACATACTGGATAGAAATCTCAAAGCAAAATTACTTTCGGCACTTGGAGAAACTCCTTTTGGCACTATGAAAAAGTTTTACAGGATTAAGATTGGGAGAGAGGTGGTTCATGGTGAGGGATATGCTAGTGTTTTAAAGAGGAACAGCTATAGTGTTGTTAACAATGAGGAGCAGGGGGGAGGCTGAATGTTAAGGCCACATACAATACTTTCTGTTACATAGGCCACACTGTTGCCATAGAGGGACAGGTTCCTGTCATTTTGTGAGCCTTCACCATTTGCAGTCATGCAAAGACCTGAACCAGATGAATCAGCTGAGTTTACAGATTCCAAATCAGACATTGCAGTTAATCACATTCACATTGTCAAGAGGCCAAGGTATGCACTTCACAATAAGTACAGGTAATTGTATATTGAAATATTAAAATTCAATTACATATGGCTTTTATTCTTCCTCATTTTGTGGCCCAGTGCTTGTTGAAATACCTAAATCTTATCTGATAACTTGGAAGATGCAAATTACTATATTCTCAGAACGTCATTGGGTTTACCTAAGTCCACTTTACATGATAGTATTCTTAGATTAATTAACACATGTACACTAGAGCAAAGGTTTTTTCATGTTTTGATCCTACTTTTTAAAAAGTTTTAACAGGAATGGTCCCAGCTACATGAAAGATTTCTTTACACTTTTTACAGTCAATTATCATCTTGGAGACATTAAGCATGAGAAAAATTCGTTTCAGAGCAAGTGCCTTAATTCCTTTGCATCCATAGCCAGCCACCTTTGGAATACTTTGCCATGCGATGCTAGAATTGCTGGTAATGTGAATACTTTTAGAGGTGTAATAGACCAATTAAACCTTGTACCATTTATTCATTGCTAAGCACCATAATAAAATTTGTTACTGTGCCCTGCACATGATTGTTTATAGTCTTTTATACTTATGTAATTTATTTACTATTTTCAGTATCTTGTAGTTCCATGTGCGCATTGTAAACGAGTATGCCGGATGCTCCTAGGCATTATGTGGATAAATAAACTATGTATCTATCTATCCTTCTTTAAACTGTTATGGTTTGAGATTTTCTGGCAGCGTTATAGAACATAGTTCTGTTGATATAATAATAATACTTTAATAATGATACTTCATTCAAATACATATATGCTCATAAACATGATATGCAAAGCATATGTGTAAAGGTGGACCGCGAGGTTATCCCTATAAAAGGTTCCCAAACTGAACTTTAAAAACATTAAAAAAATTATAAAGAACACGTATAAAAATCATTAGTACAGGTACAAAATGGTATAGTAAGAATGATATTTAAAATGAAAATATATATTTGTCTTCATCCATCTTTTTAAGCCTTTTTTAAATTTGTTAACGCTAATTTTGTCAGTGAAGAGATGGTATGGTTTTATACCTCCTTGCTAACACAAACAAGAAACATTTATGTTTATGTGGCTAGTATTACCATCGGAACAAGGTTTTTTTTTTATCCTGTGGTAAAACAGTCTGTTTTCACTAATTCTCTTCACTGTTTTCTTTCAAATTATCAACTCAAGTATTGAAGGCATGTGTGAATATTTATGCTGAATAAACTGAGTAAAATTTTGAAGGATTAAGTATCCTTGATCACTGCTCTGTCGAGGAGGACATTAAAGCAGTAATCAAGATCAGTGCAATAAAGGAAAAAGGCATTTAAATGGAGTTTGAAGACACAAACCAAGCTTACATAAGTAGATTTCAAAATTTCATTGAGACCGAAAGCAAGTAGATTAATGTACAAAGAGAAAATCGATTGTGTGTATTTTTTTCTAGATCCTCCATTTGTAATCAGTATTTATTCTTGTTGAAGGACAAAAGTTTCAGTACCCCAATAAAGAGGATTTTTAAGGACATCAAGATGGAGAAGACCCCTTTTGCTAACAGTTACATGTCACTCAATTAAGATCCTACTTTCCATTGAGGTCTTCCTAGTTTTGCAAAATTAATTATTTAAAAGTGCAGTCGTTTGGACACTCAATGCTTATTTGGTTAGCATTTAGCCAAATATGGTCTCCTAGCTGGGAATATTCAAATATAATTGGCCTATATATGATGACAAAAGATGGGTTCTCAATTTCTAACTCCCTCTTTGTTCATCTACATATGTTAAATTTGCACAGATACTTTGCAGATATTTGCAAGAAGTTCCAACATATCTGTGAAATATCTGCCAACATAATAGCAGAAATGCTGCAGATATGAATAAAACCATTACAAACATTGTGCATTACTGTAACAGATATGTCACAGATAGTTGTAGATACTTTCCATATCTGTCCATTTGGAAAGGGATTGCCTCTATTTTTAGTTAGGTTAATGTAACATTTCGCAATGCATTTTTCTTAGCTTAGTTTTTGTTGTATTTCCTTTTAAGTCGAACCACACAACCTCAATCACTACTTCAATCAAACACAAAGATGTCTCAGCGCTATCTTCAACAATTACTAAAGATCACTTCACAGTCTATGTGTGTTCGAATTGTCTACTCAGCTGCTCAGGCAACCTTTTGAGGTTACACAGACTGCACTGTGTTTTTTAGTAAATAATAGTCACTATATGTAATTTCGTCACTGTTTGGCCATTAATTTAACTGACTTTTCAACAAAATTCAAAGAATTGCTTGAGAATGGAGATATCTCTTGGATTAGAAGAGGCATGAACTATTTAGTTCTCCTTTGATTCCTCATGTGGTCACATATAATTTGATCCGATGTAAGAATACATAGAGAAGGCAAATTTAAAGTAGCTCTACCACTGCAATGGAGCTAGCTTAAACACGAGATCACGAAGTCAGATCCCTGCCACTGAGAGTACTAGAAACACCCTTATTCCCGCTAGGGAGACTTTGCAAATCAGAACTTAATATGAACAAACTTTAAAGGTCAGATCTCATTTTCAACGCATTTTCCTTGGTGCTCACTTTCTTTATTTTTGCTTTATAGACTTCACATCAGAGTGGAACCAGTTTAACACTAACCAAAAGTTCTCTGGATTGCCAATCACATGAATTTCTTTGGTTAGTATAATAATCATGACTTAAAACTTACATCCTCTGCAATATATAAGCATGTCCACATTATCACTGCCTCCTTATTTCCTTACTGAAGCCATGTTGAAATGAACTATGAAGAGTTTTAAGAAACTATCAGAGAAGGAAATTACCAGTAATCAAATAACAAAATCTAGCCAAGCTTATCTCAAGAAATGACTGCAAATTTTCACATTGGACATATTTATATGCTATACAATTTTATCTAAAATTATTTTTTTTACATGTTTATTCGATTTATTGTAATTATCATTTTAAGTTCTGTATTAGTTCTTGGATAGGTGTCCTTACTTAGTGGGTGGACAAAAGAACATCTTATTTAAGGATTGTGCTTATTTAACGTTGCATAATCTTTTTTTATTCATTTCGTTGTATTGTAGGTTTTTGTTATTACATAATGTCTTTTGTCTGGTAAGATAATTTGTAGGTTGGTTTTTCTTTCGTTTGCTATATAATTGTTAAAAAGACTCCATTTTTTGTGTAATTCATTCAGGTTTATTCGAAGTTGTGTTCAAATTTATTCGAAGTCATTCTAGGTTAGTTTGTTTGAGATCGGTCATTTTGTGTTCAATTTAAATTGTTATTCATACTTAATTCAAGTTAATACTTAAGTTTTCAAGTAGTGAACAGTGGGTAACTGATATGTTCATTAAAACTTAAATAAAGTTACTATTTTGACATTTATTATGATTAAATTGAAGGGTTTCAATCTTTTTTTTGTGGTTTGTTTTGACTATCATGTTGCCTCTATTTGATGGGTCACCTGGTGCCTCCCAAACTGTCTTGAAAGGGGAATCTTTGCTGAATTAACCATCCTATCTTCCATTTATCAACCCAAAACAGATACTTAACAGTACTGTCAAAGAGAGCACCACATATAGAAGGAAAAACATGGTAAACTCAAGAGGCTTTGCTAACAGTGTGAAAGTGTGTGGAAAAGAAACCACCATTTGATTGAACTGGGAGGGAACTACTGAAAGAGAGAGAGGGAGATGTCAGGTTTGTTACAAGAAAACAAACCATAACCATCATCCCTCTTTTGTACCATTGGCACTGCAAAATTTGTGGGTTGAATTTTTCCTGCACATAGGCATCAAAGTAGGGAACCATTGAGGAAGGGAAAATTAAATGGACAGACTCTGTTGAAGGACACTAGCCAGGCTCATTTTTATTAAATTGATTATTGATTAGTTTAATAATTTCAGAATGATCCTAGATTTGTTGATATTTCTATCAGTTTTATAACCGGACCTTTCAGCATCACCACGCATATATAAAAGTGAGTTTAGCATCCCTGTAATCAGTTCTTTGTAAGTTTTTGGGTAGATAGACTGTTGGTCTATACCATAAAGAAATCATATCCTTAATGTCCTTAGTTCAGTAGTGTTCATAACTGTAAGTAACTGTTACTAACCTTGACTCTATGCGACAAAATAGACTGTTGGTCTAGACCATAAAGAAATCATATCCTTAATGTCCTTAGTTTACTAGTGTTCATAACTGCAAGGATCGATTCTATATTCCTGTCTTCAACTACAGTGCACACATGATTTTCATATGTTTACAGCCATTATTCACCACTTCAAAGTTTTTATTTAGATCCAACATGATGACCAGCTCCCAGTTGACTTGTTCGCTCAGTTGGTCAAGCACTGCATACTTCACAGTTGAATTCTAAAAAATATGGATCAAGGAAATCTAACTGGTGCTTTATTCATCGACTTGAAGAGAGCCCTTGATACTCTACCTCACAAGGGCTATTCTAACGTTAGACGCTGTGATATCCATTCACATCATACCATTTTCTGTAAAAACCTTTTCATAGATACTTAAGTTAGACATTTCTAAGGGTGCTTTTTATTATAAAGGTGCAGTTATTAATAATAGATTTTAGCATTTACAGCCTTTTTTTAACTTCCTACTGTTTTGAAAATGTATCTCATCTATACAAACAGGTTTTGAAGAAGACCTTCCTACCCAAACAAGTCGGAGTCCATGGCATAACGAAAGTGGCCTGTTACTCTGTAACAGTTATCGGATATACTCAGAGTAACACACTAATTACAGGTTTTCCCACTAAATAACGAATTAGCAAGGTTTATCAAAATAGTGCCTAGTGTCTTCTGTTTTTAATTTTTTTTTACAGGGCCCACGTTGGTAGGAGTTGTATAACTGAAGTGGCTACCGTGTATAAACATTTTGAATTATTATTTTTATATTGAACTACTACTACTATTATTATTACTATTATTATTATTATTATTATTATTATTATCTCTGAAACAACTACATCAGGAAGTAACACATGCAGACCACCAAAGTTGGATCACTGCAATACTCCACTATCTGGCTACCTAACTGCACTACAAAAAGGTTGCAGCACATCCAGAATGCCACTGCTTGTGTCATCAAACTTACAAGAAAGCATGACCATGTTACACCCATTCCCTTTAATCTTCATTGGCTTCCAGTGAATTATCACATGATGTTTATGATTTTTTTTGGCATCATCATACATGCGCAATATGCTTACACCCAACACTCTTACAATTACATTTATTATCCAACCATCTTTTTTTTTTACTCTGTTGTGCTACTTGAAAGCATATAGTGCTAGATCCTTCTCTGTGGTAGCCCCAAGGGAGAGGCAGCAAATGGAAAAGGGCAGAGAACAGAGAGAGGATAAGGGCCACAGTAAGAGGGAAAGGAAGGGTCAAGGATGATAGGGACAAAGAAAAGGACATTGTGCTACTACATCCCTCCATGACAATACCGCCAACCCAGTATTAGTATTCTCCATTTTTCTAACCTTTGGCGAGATTTCAAGACCGCTGAATTTGCATTTTTAGAAGCAGCTCCGTAGTAATTTAATTTCCATGATAAAAGCACTGAATTGTGATGAAATTTTTAAATTTTGATACACGAAAAACAGTTGTACACTTCTTTCCTTCACAACTGTGGAAGCATGTGTTATCAAGTGTGTCTTTATTCATTGAAACCTCCTGAAAAGTCACCACAAGAGTGCAGAATGAAACTCTTTAGGTTGCACTTGCAAAATGTTAGGTGGGGTAGGTATGTTACATGTAAAAATAACATGTTATGGTCTAATGGCCAAATTCAGGAAACTCTTTATTATTCAAGTTGGCTGCACCCCATAGGTGGCCAGCTGTTCTTAGTTTCCTTTTAAAGCTTAGAGTCTTCTGATCAAGAATCACATACAAAGAGTGTCCAAAGGCTTTGGTAACCTGGCCTTTAAGTGGTCAAGATCCCATTGCCATGGAATTACGTTATCATGGAACTTGCTACCGGACCTACACAAACATGAAGCAAATAGAAGCTGTGCAGAAAAATCAAGGGCGCAAGCTTGAGTCTTGTTATGATAATGCTTTTCAGGCCCTATGATCAAAGATAGAGCCTAAGCTATTTTAGCATTTAGAAGTTATTCACATGTTTGCTTTGCGACAAAGATACCTGAAACTTCTTTCACTATAGGGCATACAAAACCCCTTGTATCACTCTGAAAAGCTGAAGGTCAGAATGTGAAAGGCTTATCTTGGCAGAATAAGCTTGTGGCACCCGAGATATCAATCAGAGGTTTAAATTGTCTACCGTGATGAGGTCTCAAGGGTCAGATTATTGAATTGTGGTCTTGCACGTGGCAGTGAAAGTGAAATGTTTATCACAAATCCTGAGGATGTACCCTTCAAAAACGATGTGTACCATCTTGCTAAGACTGTGCGTGCTGCCCCTCTGAGTCAGGAACCAAACATGCCTTGGCTGCCATATTCAAATAACATTGAAGAAGAGAATATCATGGTCCCAACTGTAGTTTATAATTCACTTGCTTGTTTTCTAAGTGAGGGTGGGGAAGGAGAAGAAAAGAAAGAGAGGGTGAATACAAAGGGGCGTTGTCAGCGAATTGTTCTTTCCCTTGCTCAAGACCTCTTGAACTATGAAATGGAATGCAGAAAACATCAAAGCATGTTTCCTTACCCCTAGCATTGAAAAACCTAACCAGTTCAAAAGAGGTCATTACTCTGTTGAACAGGTATGGTCATGGAATTTCATATGACCAGATTCTTGATATGGAGATGAGACTTGCCGAGAACCTCCTTGAAGGAAAGGAACATGGTGTAATACTTCAAAAGGTTGTCAGTCCTAATGCCTTCAGCATATTTCGCTGAGACAACACTGACCTGCTTGAAGAAACATTATCGGGAGGAGGTACAACTCACTGCACAAAGGCAAGCTTCAGGCTGTGCTTTACCACCAAAGTTTTCTTATCTGTTAAGATTGGCGGAGAAGTAATGCTGGAAGCTGACAGAGACCTTTGCTCGCCTACTTGTTGTAGCCCAAACAAGAGAGATGGATCTGAGAGAAGTCTTCAAGTATTTTCTATGGTTAGCCAAATGTTGCATAAACTTATATTTATGCTCAACAAAATATATTTTTATTCAACAGTTTACAGTTATATTCAACATTTTATATTTATGTTCAACAATGCGCATTATCTTTTCATATTCAACTAAATTATTTTCATTCAACAACAATATTTATTCAACTTCAATAGCTATATTAATTTTACTCGACAAAATTAATTGTTCAACTTCAGTCCGAACTTTTTACTCAACAAAAATAATTATTCAACTTCTACCATGCTTTTTTTATGACGAAGTGTTTAAAAGTTCCTGGACATTCGAAATATTGTTATTCAACAAATTCCCCGTCCCATCCCCAGTTAAACACGCTGCATAACGGACCCAGTTCCCTGATTATAACCCTCATGAATAGAGATGGCATCGGAAGACAGAGGAGGGCGTGATGTTAGGGAAGAACTGACACAAATTGAGAGAAAATGTGTTCAAAATGAGAATGCTCTTCAACGATCGGGAAGTAATACCTCGTTGTTAATGAGAACCCGCAACCTTATAACAAGTTCAGCTCTATCTGCGAGCCAAGAGATGACAAATTCCATCGCCATGGGCATCGTTCCATCTTTTCCTGCCACAGCCACCCCAGTTCCTTATTCTTCGTCTTCTTTTCACGCGGGAAAAAAGAGGCCTGCAGGTGCAACAAATCATCCATGGTGCCTCAAAGGTAAACAGAAGAAACAAATGAATCAAGAGTTACACCCAAAAGCTGTTCATCTCCTCCACAAGCCCAAAGATCTCGATGAAATGGCTTTGTTCCTGATTACGCAGTTACCGACGATATGATTCCACTGAAAGGTTACTTTGAGCTGGGAACAGGCCAGTCGGAAAGCGAAATCAGAGAAAACGTCACAGAGATACTGAAGCAGCAATTCCCTTTCGTAAGACCAGATCATTTTGACTGTGTTAAGCGACAAAGTAACTACCCCCATTGTAAGAAAATCTCTTGAATGAAATTATAAACTTTTAGAATTTGGTGGCCTCCATTCAGTAGATGCTCTTCTTGAAGGGGATTCCCTCCCAGAATACTCCAATACAGTACTATGAGAATCATTAGTGCAGATCATCGACATCTTAGGAAAAAAGTTGACAGGAAAAAGAAAAACTAGAAGTTGATGAAGATGATATAATTGAAGATGCTGTGACCTATTACAAGTCCATTCAGTTTGATGCTTCCTGCCCTTTAAGAATTATCTTTCGAGGGCAGCCTGCCATAGACAGAGGTGGAGTACTGAGACAGTTTTATTCTAACTTATTTGAAGGATTAGTACAGGGCAAGGTACTGCTGCCGTTTGAAGGAGAAGAAGCCTACAAGGTGCCAAGTTACCAATCACAGGCCGTCATGAGTGGAATGTTTGAAATGGTTGGTAAAATGATTGCCCACTCACTTGTGCAAGGAGGCCCTGGATTTCCATGTTTGGCACTGCCCTGTTTTTATTACCTTGTGACTGGAGATGTCATGTGCGCATTTGCGTACTGTGATGTTTGGGATATTCCATATCCAATTTCCAGGAATATAGTCTTGCAGGTACATGCTCAGTATGTTTTGAGTTTATTTTAAAGCAAAGCAAAGATGTACCTTAAAACCAGAGTAAATCCAGTAAGTGTACACTGCACCTTTTGGACACCCCATTAAACCATCCACTGTTTAACATGCTACAGCAACCAGTAATATTGGGTAAGCCTCCCATTACTAGAAAATTTATGTAACAAGTGTTTCTTGAAATAGTGGTTGTGGTCTAGGAGTTTTTGTACTTGATATATTTAATGTGGAAAAATGTGAAGGTGCATTGGTCTACAATCAAGATGCCCTGAGCATTGGAATGCACATGCGTGCAAAAAATGTTTCTCATGAAGATTTCCTGGAAAGGCTTGCTGAAAGGTGTAAAAGGGCCTACCTTTAACCTAAACCTACTATTCAAATAATAAAACTTCTCCACCAGTACATGTACATTTCTAGTCATGTGTAATGATTATTTTTATTCCTGCAAATTTACTTAAAGCTAATGGATGTCACTGGTGATGATGAACTGGGAGAGCTAGCCAAGAATGGTGAAGTAATTAATCTGATGGCTAATTGTGGAGAGACAAGTGTTCTGCGGTAGAACTTACTTTATGTTTAAGATATTTGTTCTGTCATTCATGTCACCCCCTGGCATTGGAAAAATTATATTATTCATTCTTGAGATTGTGAAATAGCAAAAGCTATGCAGGAATTTCCATATGTCCTGTTACACATGCTCAGAGATTACACCACTGTCTTGAGCCTGATGGGAACTGTTTACAGGATGGTTATACAGTAGCTCTACTATATCAGAAAATTTTCTGAGATGGTGTATGCATGACAATTATATATCATTTTGTGATTATATTGGGACCAGAGATGGTCATTCTTTTCTCTTAAGTACGACACCTCATTTAACAGTAATACACATTCAGAAGATTTATATGGCTAGATACTAAAGTTGCTACCAATTTTATTCAATTGATTGGTTTGAATACATTGAAGTGCCAGCCTATTTGTTTCCTACAATTTAAGAGAATTGTGTTGCATTCTGTTTGGACATTACTGTTAACATCATATTTTATTTCAGATGTCTACCAAAGGGAAAATAATCCAATCAGTAGTCATGTACGAGGTTGAGAAAAGGATTGAAGGTGTTCTTGATGAGACGTCAAAGCACCCACATCTATTTGAGAGTGTGTTCACCTTTAAACCTGTTGAGCTGACACCAGCAATAGTTAAAGAGGGTCTCAAATATCCAGATGAATCAAGTGACCAAGCACAGAAAACCAAGATGATGATGAATAGATTTTTTGACCAGTCATCAAGTGCCAGGTTGATGCAATTAATGGAGTACTGCACTGGAAGTAAGATGATGCCCTCAGTACAGAACTTTGCAATAAATGTACATTTTCATAGTGAAGATTACATCTCTTCGTCAACATGCACCTTTACATTGTTAATACCTTATTTACAGTGGCAAGAGCACACAAAACCAATGTTAGTGCTGCTTTTCGGTATCTCCCTTTTTCAATGTTGTGTTGTTTAATTCATTGATAAATTTAGTTGTTTCACCTTTCCTAGCAGTATAACTGATGTTTATGTTCAGTGCTGATTCCTGGGAATGATAGTCTTAAATTTAATGTTTTGTCATACATAAAGTTCATTTTCTGTTTTTATTATTGAAAATAACACACAAAGGACCAAGTGAGAAATGTGAATCTTTTTTGACTTGCTCTTTAATAATTATTGAAATAAGTGGATTAACATAAACTATTGTTTTCTTCTTAAAATACTTTGCATGAGCAAATTATTAAAAATGGAAAAGAGTTTTAGAATAGGGGTGGAGAGATAGGGATGGGTCAGCTAGTTTGAGTGGGTGATGCCTCAGTTTGGAGGACTTCAAGAAAAAAAAGTATATATCTGAAAGGTGGCTAGGACTGGTTATTGTAAGAAAACCAGTGCTTCATAGTCATCACCTAGCTATCTGAGTTTCATGATAATTTTAAGCAAGTTCAGGTTGCATGATGTTCCAATCCACCATAAATCATAACAGCAAAATTCAAAACGGGTATGTGAGGTGCCATCAATTTTTCCTCGGAAAGATAGATTGATAAAACACAAATTCAGTGTTTATTCCCCCTTAAGATACCCTTCTGCAAGAAATCATAGTGATTTGAAAAAAAAAACATATTGGCATTTTAACCTTGTCATTGTTGAATACAGCTATGTGTGAGATGATTCCCTACAGGCATGTCTCGTAAGCATTATTGGTTATCATCACATAACCCTTAGTAGCCTTTGTAAATATCCATTGAGAACTATGGTTGGAAAGCAAGTTTTCTAGAAATTCAAGCACCCTCTGGATTATATCTATGGCAAAAGCACTGGAATTCTCAAGTGGGTTGATCTCGTTTGACAGCCTAGAGATAATGTTATCTGGTAAATCCAAATCCACTTCATTGACTTCGACAGTGGACAGACCATCATCAGGTAGTGGTGGAGCATCAGGGTAAAAACCATACCACTCATGCTCATGCTGGCTGATGTTAGCATCACTTCTTACATCAGCTACTGCAGTAAGTCTTCAATTGACTCTGTCATTCCATTGGACCAGATTTGTTCTGGACTCCAATTTCTTTCAGTTCTTATGGGGTGCTTATTCCAGGCCTCAACAGAACTATCAATTGCAGCATTAATTCTGGACAAGTAGACATGATGAAGAACAAACAAATGTAGGGGGTTGGTGACATCAAGCAAACCAGATTCCTCCATGGATTTGAAAGTGTAGTAAAACACATTACCGAAACATCGAAACACGTCTCGCCATAAACGCTCTATTCTCTGGTTACGAGTAGAAGTTCCAATAAGTGCGGATCCATGATTATGGCCTTGAAATCCAATCATGCGTTCCCATACTAACATGTTTTCTCCTCCATGGTCAGTTAGTATTCTAGAAGGCCACGAATACTTTTCAACATTCTGCAGAAAAAGATCTTCAACGATCTTTTTTCTGTTGTTTGTAGAACACTTCAAAAAACATTAAATGGGAATAGGCATCTATACAACCATGTTTTATGAAACCCCAAGAGAATGTCCTTTCATAGTTCTTCATTACTGTTGACTAACTGCATAATTAATAGAAAGTTCTCAAAGGAATACACCAAGGTGACTGTTGTTCACACTTGTACAAAAATTCAAGCAATATTCCTTGATGGATTGGATACACATAGCTATTGATGTTCCAAGATGTGCGAAATAAAACTTCCTTTATTTGATTATGGGTGAGATTAAGACAAAGAAAACTCTTAGCCATTAGAATGCCCTAAAATCAAGCAATATTTATTGTTATCACCTCGTCATAAATATTGTACTCAAAACATGCAGAAAAATAAGACTTAGAGGAATTTTTTAGATTTAGGTATGAAGGAGCATTCTCAATCTCAATCTCATTGGTATGTATATATCTTCCATTTTTATTTCCCATATACATATGACTTTCCTATCAATTCTTTTCTTTAGATGTGCATACATTTTAATATATATTTTATAATTACAGTGCTGATAACAAGTTTACACCAACTTTTCCCTCTGGGTTCAGCTGATTGGTTTAATTGGGACAAGTAAAGATTACTATTAATTAGGACAACTAAAAATTACTATTATCATTTTCGCTCCTGTGTGTGTCAACTTGCACTTAATTTTTTGTGGCCCAAGCATCTAGATGGAAGACAAAAATAAGCAGTAACTCTACAAGTGATATTCCATTGCCTCACACCAAAAATCAGAACCTAACTAAGATTGGTTTCTATTAATTAAAGAAGCCAATAAGGCAGAGGATCTAGTGCTGCAAACTTCCAACATGGCAGAAAGAATATCAGCACAGCTGGATACAGCCTAAGAGAGAGGAGGAAGAAGCAGTGGCCAAAAAGAAAGGCCAGAGAGGGAGGGAAGATTGTTTTCTGTGTGACCAGACAAGTTATTCAGTGTGCACTGCCTTTTAGCAGTATCTGGAGAAAAACAGCACAGCCAAAGGTGCAGTGTAGTACAAAGCTCAACTGCTTAGAATACGCAGCCTACATGTAAGTTGACTTAAATGACAAAAATAATAGTGAAGAAGCCGGTTTACTACCAAAAATGGTAGACTGCTTTTCTGGAGACACGCATAAAGTTCCCGTTAACAACAAAGGTGATAGTTTTTGGTCACATGAGTAGAAAGAGGTTGGCGCAAAAGGCAATCACATGAGATAGCATTCCTTCGCATTTCTTTGCCCATCATTTA